TATATATATATAAATATACATATATATATTCAATGAATGGGAGTGGTTGTAAGAAAGTGGAAGCATGTGGGGAAAGAAGATATCGAGGAACTAACGCCAAAAACAATGCGTATCACAACTGCATCTCGCTCTGAAAGTTGTCTCATATACCATTCTTTAGCACTTGTCTGATTTCTGCACTAAAAATAGAACTCTTTTTTCCTTAAAATTTGTTTTTTCCTGCAAAATATCTTTGGGCTTTGTTGATTGGGCATTCATGACGCTCATCGGGCATTATCGGAAAACACTTGGCATCATCCGCATCTTTTTCGTTTTCAAAAGAGCTCAAAACAACATGTGAGTGGGATTAACAGCGTAAAATCAGCCTGTTATCGTAATGTAAGGCCTTTGAATGCTCAGCTTTTGGCAAAACAAGATATTCCTCGGTTTCAGGTGCTTTTGCGTAATTTTTCCAAAAACCTTTTTGCCTAATATACCTAACTGTCAATAAACAAGACTCCATTCGTATTCACTCTCTATGAGAGGCATGAGCAATCGGGAATTAGTTTGAGTGACAGCAAGTGCAAACAGCAACTATCCGTTGGCGAAGCTGCAGGTGGCTGTCGTTTTCGAAGTTGCTTGAGATGGTAAAAAAAAAACTGAGATATTACTCATCCAGTGAACGCACCCTTGTCTGCTGCGTGTCCATCCAAATAATTTACCTCAGAATTATTTAGGTGAAGTGTTTGAAGGTTAAAAAGTAAGCCCTTGCATTGCACCGTGCGGCACATCTTCAACTTTCAAATTTTGTACTTTCAGCTTCTGGTTCCAGGTTCCAATTTAGTTCATTCCACAATTAAGCAAAATTGAAAATTTGGCACTTCGTCTTATCATATGGAACTGATGACTCAAATTGATCCTGGGACTAGCTTCTGAACTGCATCTCAGATTGACTCAATAATCAATCAAAAACGATGCAAACCAGAAGCCATGTTTTTAGAAGTACAACTTACCAAACAGACTGGGGGGATGGTTTGGCTAATTTTCTAACTTTTCTATATTTTGACG